AACTTGTCCTGAAGGTGCTGGGCCCAGACCTGCCACAAGGAGTAAAAATTGGAAAAGTGAAGGAAGGGGCGTCAGCTCAAGGAAGGCACAGAGCTCATCAGGGATAAGGAAATTAAGTTGGCCTCGACTGCGGACTTGGTAGAAGTAAGGGTGTGGGAACTACGGGAGACTCAGCTTGACTCCAAAAAAGGAATCCTTTTTTTTTTTTTTTTTTTTTTTTTTCGGAGTCCTATTGGAGGACCTGGCAAAGAACGATAGAGTGGAACCCCTACAATATGGTTGGAGAGGGCCAGGAGGGATCAAGACGCCAGTAATTCTCTACCTTCCGAAAATAGGGGTGAAAAAGACAGCGTCGACTGCGGAAGTTGCAACCACAAGAGAGGCCATTCAGAGGTTCCAGGGAAGTGAGGGAGTTGCTTAACCACACCCAGACTTCAGATGCCTGTGGAAGCTGTTAAAGAAGATCCCTTCGCAGAAGCAAGCAAGCTTAATGTGGCTCAGTCGATGGCTGTGATCCCGTCCGCCCTCTGGCCTAGTTCCAGGGGAATGGAGTTTAATCTGACATGTCTGAGATGCAATTGGGGATGGGAGGCCACGGAACATATATGGCTACTCAGCCCCCTTGCAGACGGGCTATGAATATGGTGGAAGCTGCAGTGGAAGGCAGAAGGAGGAGCTAAATGGGAATGGACGGATGATTGGATTTTATTTGCTATCCCGCCCCCCAATGCCAAGTTTTCGGATGAATGGGGGTATGTGGCATTAGTCTGCAGAGGGATACTTTTGGAGACAATTTGGAAAGCACGGAATGTTGTGGTCTTCCGAAAAGACCCGGTATCAATCCAACAGCAGATTTGTATGGTCAAGGCGATGCTCAGACTAACAATTTTGACAGAATGGAGAAGATAGAAGCATAAAGCAGGGGGTGGGTTGTTTTGGTTCTGAAAGGTCTGGACTGGGGAAGCTTAGGGTTTCTGGCATCTATTAGCTCAGAAGGGAAATTGGTGATTTCTAAGTGGCTTAGCTCCAGATGCAGCTATTCGCCTGTAGGCTGGCATATGCATACCAGGGCGTGCTCATGCGCAGGCCTGTGTACTTTACATTTTACTGTGCTTCAAGGCTTCTTTTGAGAAGCAGCTAAGGAATGGATTCAATAAGGGACGCTGGCCCGGTTTCCAGCAATGGCTGGACCCGGTTTCCAGCAATGGCGACACCGGGTTGAATTGTGGGGTCTCCCTGGCCCCAACCATCCTATTTTTGATAATAAAGACATTAGCTTCTCAAAAAAAAAAAAAAAAGCGACTTCGATCGGAACCAAATTTAGTTTGGCGCACCTTACTATGGTCCTCGTCCCACTAGCCGCGTTAATTTAGTTTTGGACTCGTGCGACAGCCCGAGCAGCAAAAAAATAAAAACAGCTTTTATCTGTAGCCGTTAGATGAGTGCCACATCAATCATGTATGGCAAGAGAAATGGTAAAGGCCAAAAAACAAAAAACAAAAAAAAAAGGTGAGAGAATTGTGATGGCAGTGTCTGACTGACAGACCAGCCACAGCTTTTTTTTTTTTTTGCTCAAATTCAAATTCCATTACAAAGCTTGTAGCATACTGGGCTAGAAATAAAGACGGCGGGCACTTGGGCAGAAAAAAGGTTTGTGTAAAAAAAAAAAAAAAAAAAAAAAAAAAAAAAAAGGCTTGTGTGGGAAAAGGGAAGACTTGCCTTCAATTTTTGTTGCTAGGCCCTGTTTTCTTTTTTTTCTTTTCTTTTTTCTTTTTTTGAAGAATAGCCCTTGGGATATCCCTCTATCCTGGCGGTGGTAAGAGAACCGTCAGAATTGAGGGCTTATCTGCTGGCCTGCTCCATTTATTGGTGGCGAGCGGCACCTGCTGGAAACCAGGTCCAGCATCCCATTGATACCCATTGATACAACTTACAATACAAATGTAGGCCCTGTTGTCAATTTTCTCTAAGGGTTTGAATAATTTTTTCTAAGGGCCTGGTTCAACACCACTACAAATGTGAGGATTCTTAGAACATCATCGTTCCACCACACCCTAATGACGAAAAAAACGAACTCCAGAATGTTTCCACATTTTTGGCTCTTAGGGTCTGCGCCTTATAAATGAGGGCTCCCCAAAAGGACGAAAATCTCTAGGGAGCCCCAGGAGGTGACTTGAAATGTGAGGGTGGAACCCTACGGATTGCCCGACAGGCCGAGGTCCTGACACCCGACTCTCCTCACCGGAGATGTAAGGGCGGGTAAGTGTAGGGTCTTCCTGACCAGCTGTGGAAAGAAAAAAAGGGTTAGGGTAAATTAATCACCCTCAGGCTGGCCCAGTTAGGGTGCCCTTACAATGTAAGGATTCGTAAGTGGTGTAGAACAAGGCCCTAAACCCCCATGGCCTGGGTGGATCTGTGGCCATAACGTGTGCCTCGTATCACACTTCACTAGTAAGGTTCGAACTGGAGCCCCAGCAAATGGGACCAGGGCCGCAGTTCCCGCCAAACGAGAACCCATATTGTTTTTTTTTTCTCTCCTTTTTTTGGAAATGGCACATAGGCTAGCACGCGGAGTGAACCTAAATAGTCGGGCCTTACCAGGTTCCGGCCAAAAAAGGAACAATAACCGTTTTTTGGGCTCGCTGGGGTCCGACAAGAAGCTCGTTGTTGGGATAAGACTTAGGGCCTAGTTGCACTACTCTCCATAGGCCAAGTTTGACGAGTAGGCGCCTGGTTGCACTTACTTGCCAAACTTGGAGAATGGAAAATGTGTCAGAGGGCTTGCCACACCGTCGACACAAGCTGTGGAGAGTGAATTCGGTTTCCCCGCCTGTGCACGGCGGTTTGTGGAGGGTGGTCCTTGGAGGCTCGGACCTCTCCACAAAACAATTTTCTGGAGAGTGCAGGGCTTCACGAGTCGACATCAGGTAGACAAAAAATTTTTGCTTTGCTGTAGAAGAAATCTAGTGGCGAGTAAATGCAACCAGGCCTCCAGTTCGACACGATTCTCATATTTTTCACTCTCCACAAATCCGCCACGAAATGTGAAGGATGGCGAGTAGTGCAACTAGGCCCTTATGGACAAAGTGTCCCTGTTTTTGGCATACAAAAGCAGGGACATGGGATCCTTCGAATGGGCCAAGAGCATAAGGGGCAAATTCGAGAAATGCTACCCCAGGAACCTTACCTTGAAGCGGACGGACAATGGGAGGGGTACTTGGTCTTTCTTGGGGTGTCGCCTGACTGATCGGCAGTCCTTCCCATATTTGGAAAGTCTGCAGACAGTGAAAAACGAGGGGGCCACAATCTGGTCAAGCAAACCAGGGCGATCCGGACTGGCCAAGTCTTCAGATCTTGGACGAGCAGGTGTCAAAAGGTGGCCGCGGTCGTGGGGAGTCTACATAGACTCTTCACAGGAACATGACGAATCGGACCGAGATCCTGATTCAGGTGCTTCTCCTGAGACTGGAACTCAGGGCAAAGGGGTTCCCGGACAAGTCCTTTGGGTCTCTGAAAGTTCTAGACGAGTTGGCGAAGAAATGGGAAAACATTTGTGAAATTGACGGCAGCATGGAGGTAGGGCTGTCGAAAACACGCGGGGAGGTTGCGGCGGCTGGACGCTGAGCCTCCAATGTGGATTTGTTTTGTTTTGTTTTGTTTTGTTTGGCAATGTTTGTTTTTTGTTTATCCTGGTTGTGTTCTGCGTTGTTGGTCTCTATTCGATCGGATTGGGTCTGACGAGTAGATAGAGTGCTGAGTCCCTTTCGGAATATGGGCGTCGTTCGACACTCCTCGGGGACGCGATTCCGAGGATTCCGTCGTCGTTCCACCTGTCCTCGGAGCCGATTTTCGGAACAAAAACGTGAAAACACGCCGAGGACAAATCCTCGGGCTCCGAGGATTTCCCAGCCAAATCGTCCTCGGGTTCAAGGGACCTCGCGAGGTCCTTTGGAGCCCGAGGATCCGCGATTATCGGGGTGTCGGCGGCGCGTCACGAAGGGGCAACGGAGGTCGAAAGTGGTCCAGAGGTGGTCCGGAAGGCGGAAGACGGACATCCCGAGGCGTGGGCGTCCAAAAGGTCAAGTAACAACCACGTCGTTTTACCGTTGGCGGTGATCGTCGCGGGACGGCCCTGTCGGTTCGTCGGGTGTCCCGACGGAGGTGCACCGGCGAGCATCGGATGTCTTTGGCCGGCTCCTGCAGTGGCCGTGCCGTTCCCGCGTGCTCCACAACGGTCGAAAAATACGTATTTTGTAGGCGCCCTACTGCAGCCACCATGGAGATTGCATCAATTTCATTCGTTGGCGTCTTCCCTCTCGCACTGTTTGTCTCCGTTCGCCGCGCTTGCCCCCGTGCAAGCGCATCTTCTGTTTCTGCTGCCCTGTAGTTCATGGCAGACCTGTACCGCAGGCTGCCTTTGCTGCTGCTCGCCGTTTTGCTGCTGCTTGCCGTTGTCGTCTTCCATATTTGCTGCCTCGTGCGCGTTCCAGGGAGGAAACAGGCGCGGCGAACGTCGAAGACGGCCAGGAAGATGGAGAGGGTACAGACGAGGACCACGCTGTCCGCTGGGGCTGCGGGGTCGTCACGTCAGCGCTGCAGAAGTGTGGAAGCAGTCAGTCGGCCGTACGACCCCGCACTCTACAGCCACCTGCCGTCCCACGACATACCGTTGCCTCCAAGTGACGATGACGGCGACGACCCACGACGTTCTACCCTTCCTCTGGGCAGCGGTTCGACTCAGGATTGGATGGGGAGCCAGCTGCACAGGCGGGCATCGACGACGACGTACACTGATCTGCTAGMGGGGCGTGCCCCGGCTGGTTATGACGCAGGACTGGTGGATCTCAGCTTCGGATTGAGGTCCGGAAGTGCTGAGGAGGCGACGCGCACCGTTATCGTGAACCCAGCTTCGGGCACCACCCACGCACCGCCTCCAGTGACAACGTGGACTGGGCGATCAGTTCCGTGTAGAACGACGACAGCAGGTGGCACAGTGGACGGACGACGCCCAAACGAAGAGTGGTCAGCAACGGAGGTCGTTGGTTGAAAGTTTTGGGATGATCATCGGCGGCAATCGCGTGAAGCGAGCACGACCGGCATAATGAGAGGGGTGGCGAAGATTAGCGTGGGGGCGGATGATATATTACGCGATGAAGACGGTGGAGTTGCGGAGGATTGCGAGGCGGACGGCGGGGCTGGTAACGACGACGAGGTGGACGACGAGAACATGGAGATTCGTCCACTGGGGAGAAAGTGGGGGGGGTCGACGGCCGCGAAAAAGTTGCCTGAAACGCGCACGGGGCGGAGGGGGAAGAAGGGTGTGGAAGATGCGTTGGCTGGCGAGGGATCGAAAAGCCGGGATTTTTGGACCGTGGAGCACATGATTGCTCTCATCCAGGCAAAAAGAGACCAGGATTCGCATTTTGCCGGTCTCGCGCACACCACGGGAAGGATGGAGACGAAAACATGGAAGTGGGACGACGTGGAGAAGAGGCTGGTGCACATGGGGGTCACGAGTAGAAAGGCCGTCGATTGCGGGAAGAAATGGGACAACCTATACCAGCAATTCAAAACCGTGCACAAGTTTATGGGAGAATCGGGGAAGCCAAATTTCTTCACACTGACGCCAGGCGAGAGGAAGGAGCGGGGGTTCGATTTCCGGATGGATGAGCGTGTGTATTCGGAGATGGCGGCGATGACCAGGAGCGATCACACCATACACCCCACCAATCTTGCTGACACCGGTGCGACTGGAGGTGTTCAAATGCCGGGCCCACACGGGGGTCGAAATGAATCCGGCGGTAGTGAGGGGGGCGGGGATGGACAGAACGACGATCAGGGGTCCACAAAGGATTCTATCAGCGGCGGTGGTGTTGGCGGGGGCAACAAAGAAAAGAATGTGAGACAGCAGACCTTCGACACGATTGCAGACGTCATGAAGGAGCACGGGAGTCTGATGGCGTCAACCGTGGACAGCGCGAGCAAGAGACAGTGCTCAATTCTGACCAGGCAGTGCGACATTCTGGAGCGAGAGGTTGAAGTGCAGAAGGAACACTACTTTAAGGCCGACCAGGCGAACTTGATGATGTGTGAAGCACTTATGAAGATTGCTAAAGCGATCCGCGAGCGATCGTGACGTCTCCCCGCCACGCGTGCCGTCATTGTCCTGCGTGCTGCAGTGACGAGATGTGCTGGTTGTGTACAGACGGCTGATTGTTTTTTGGGCGCACGTTTTTTTTTTTTTTTTTTAGGTATGCATTTATTTCATGATTTCATTGTAGAATGGGTACGATTGCTGTCATGCCCCGCGGCGCGTCCTTCGGTGTTGCGCTACGTCGTCTGATTATAGAATATTAGGACTGTTGTAGTGAGGCGTTGCCGGCACGCATGGATGGCGAGCTTCGGGGGTTTCAGAGAAGGGTGTGATTTTCGGGCGGGAGGGGGTCGTTGTTTTGGTTGGCTTTTTAGACCTCCGCCAAGGTCCTTCTGCGCGCCCACTAAGGATGTTGGCCATGCGAGGGATGACATGCGCCTGCGGAGGAAAACGGACCATGGACGAGCGACGAAGGGGCGGGCTGTAGTGGACGGGGACTCATGTCCACGGTGTACTTCCACATCGCTGTATATGGAAAAAGGACATTCCGCCCGCCATTTCGTACCGCGGTGGTTCCTTACCCATGGCTCCCTCTCGCACCGTCTGCCTACCTGCTCATCGTCGCGCGCCTGCAACTCCGCGTCACCGCTCCACGCTCCCGCATCGTGCTGCGCGGACAATGCCCCTTCATGCGCATCAAACAGGCAGTCCCTCGTCCCCGTCGCGCCAGTTTTCCTCTTCGCCCGCGTGCCGCACTTCAAGGACTTGAGCGCCGCCTCTGTCCACGCGTTCGTTCGTCGACGTCATCCTTCGTGGACGTGTTCCTCCGCCAACGTGTTTCATCGTCTTCGATCCCCATTTCAGTTGCCATCGTCGTCGCGGCTCCACGACCACTGCCCCGTCATCTGCATCGTCCACGTTGTTCTCCGTCCACGTGGAAGCATTGGGAAGCAGTCACAGGCGTCCTTCTTCCGCGCTCTCTTTCGTCGAAGGAAGCCTTCGTTTACGTGGTCGTTGTTGCCGATTTGCGGACCAAATGCCCCCATAGGGAGCCTCGGCAAGGGGCAGGAAAGATGGCGGGGTGGGCGATGGTGGGGAAACCAACAAAGGCAGAGGCCACATACCGAAGTCGAAAAGGCAGCGCATCGATGACGCGAGCTCCTCACAAACTGAGGACTTCCTCGCAGACGAAGTGGCTATGGTGGACGCGCAAGGGACGACAGGGGTCGTGAGGTTGGGTTTCGGGCGGGATGGAGTGTCGAGGGAGCAGCTGCAAGCAGCGAGACGCAGCGTTGTTGGCGGTGCTGCCGGGACGGTGCCAAGGTCCCCAAACACGGCAGCGGTTGTCGTCACGGCCGCGCGGGTCGCGGGACAAATTTCGGCGGCGGCAGGCCAAGGTCAGCCACGTCAGGCACTCCCCCTGCAACACGTGTTGGCGACAGGGGGAGGGCACACGGCGACCGCGCAAAAGGGCGACGCGACGGCTACCGCCAGTCGGACGGTGGCGGCGGACCACACAGCTAAAGGCAGCTTCGTCGAAGGCGCGGAAAGGGTGGGGGTCGACGACGTTGGCTGTGACGATGGCCGAAGAGACAGAAAGCGGGAGGGCAATGACGGCGACGACCGTCCACTTGTGCCGACGGGGAAGGGAGCGCCGAAGGAGGACGAGCTGCAAGAGAAGGCCAAGTTGTGGGTTGATTGCGACGCTTTCTGGGGTCAGGGCCGCGGGAAACCTTTGAGGGAGGCGGTAGGCGAATGCACCGACTACTTCGTCGCCGTCGCCAACGGAGACGCAGGAGCTGAGCCGCCTTCGATGCTCATCATGCCCCCGAACGATGTGCCTCGCTTCAAGATCGACGACCCGGCGCAGCGTGAACCGGCTCTCCGCAGAGCGCGCAGCGTGGAGAGAGTAGTGCTGCGCACCATCCACGGTTGGATCTTTAAATCGCAGTCGAGGTGGACTGGCTTCTCTCGTGCAGAGTCCTACATCACRGTCGACTTCGCCACGGACCTCGCACGAGCAGTTTGGCAGGCCTTGGAATGGTCGAGAGTGGTATCCCCTGCACTCGTATACCACACGGTGGCGATGAAGATGGACGTGCCCCTGTGGTTCGCGGGGGTGAAGATTGAGGACCGCCTGGAAGACGACGACATGGTGGCCCGACAGGAGGCGACAGTTCTTCTGCTGGCGGAGTGCTGGACAGATGCGCTCTGGTGCGGACAGTGGGCGGATGGCGGGTGCGTAAAACAGGAGAGGTTGTCCAGGCTGGCGGACTGTCTGCGAGCGTTGTTGTGCGCGGTCATGTGGATCATGCGCATGGGAGGTGACGACGACCGATCGCATTACGAGGCATGGTCGTACGCGTCCATGGTCGCGAAACCGACGATGATAGCGGCAGGGTCGTACATCTTCAACTGGCGCCGACACGTGGTGGACTCCGCCAACCTCGTCCTCGATCGTCTAGGGAAGGCCCACCTCACGCTGGGAGATTACCCGCAATGCATTCCGGAGTGGTGTGATTGCGGGTTGGCGTTCGGGCACAATGCTTCCCTGAAGAACGCGGCGGAGGCTGCAAAACACGGGTGGATCGACAGCGGGCCCGCGGCGGATGACGATGGAGATGATGGCAAGTGACACGTCATCTCGAGCACATGGCAGCGGGTTGGTGCGCATCGTCGGCGCTTCGTCGACGATGGTGATGAGAGGAGGAAGTGTGCGCCTTCAAGTGGACACGGTAGCGCAGAGGCGGGACGGGTGTTGCCATGTGCTGGGGGTGGGGGGTGTGGCGAATAGGTGAGGTGGCAGGTCCTGCGCGRCAGTGTGTTGAGGCGGAGGTGCRGAAACATCTCTCACCGCGTCGAACGATAAGGGTGGCGAAGACTGCGCGGTCCAGCGACGTGGCCACGTCGGCAGATGGCTCTGTACAGCGTGTGTTGTGAGCGGCTCCTGTGTTTTAAGTTTTTTTTTTTTCTTTTTTTTTTTTCTTCATGTAATCTTTTAGGAATTGTAGCACACTTTCTGGTCGTGCTCCACAAAAGGGTTTGTTAATCACGAGTGTGACACGTGGCAGCACTGCGCGAACTGCAGGATAAGTTCGTCCTCCGTGGTTCGCGGTTGGAGGGTGGATTGTGGGGAGGGAGGGTGGATAGGTAGGAGAAAAGTCGGTCGCTGCCACAACTTTCTCCGTACTTCAGCGGATTATATGCAATCATTTCTGTTTCTGTGTGAACGTCTTGTGACTGTATGGTTCTTATCACTCAGCCACTGCTGCTTTTCTTTTGTTGTGTGCGGTTTATCATGCACGATAATCGTCGACATGATCGTCTGAATTGCGTCCACGGCCTCTATTGTCATGCTCTTGTTATTGCTCATCGCCATGTCGTCCACAACTTCTGTTCATTTTGAACACCACAGATAAAGGAGAAAAAAAGAAAAACCAAAACAAACAATGCACGAACCAATCGAAAA